ATTAACAACATCTGAGGTACATGTTTGACATGAAGATTAAATAAAATATATATGTAGATATGGCTAGGTCAGTAATTTGTTTCTTTCCTTCTCCTTTGAGTCTGCCTTCCTTATCTAAAAATTGACACAAATGAACTAAATATTCTCTGAATCCCTTGCCAGATCTAATATTCTCTGGAATGGCACCATTTTAAACATCACCTACAAGGGAAGTAATTTTGGGGTATAAATCAGTGAAAGTTTTGAGCAAGTGTAAAGTTTGTGCTAGCTTAAAAAATACTAATTAATTTATTCATTCATTAGTTTAGTATATATTTATTGACTACATTTTATGTGCTGGATTGGTAAGATACAAAGATGGACAAGGTAATGTTTTGTACACTTAAGGAACTTACAGATTTCATGGGGTAGTGGTGTGAAAATTGTGAGTTATGAAATCATATGGTACTATGAAAAAAAAAAGTGAGTATGAGATACTATGGAACACAGAAAAGTAATGAACACAGCCTTAGAATGAAGATTTTCTAACAGAGGTGATATTGAAGCTGGGATTTGAAAAATGAAGGATTTTCACTGATGGATCCAAGGCATAAAGAACTTTCCTGGAAGAAACACCAGACCATAGGTACAGAGGCAAGGGAGGACATGATGTGTGGGAGAAGGATGCAGTGATTAAAGTGTTGGGTGCACCTGTAGATGAAAAATGAAACCTGGAGTTCTTTGCTCTGCAGAAAACTGGAATCCTCATCCTATAACTAATAAGGAACCATAAGAGTAATGAAGAAACATTGTTTTATTCAATGACCTTATTAGATCTTTGTTTTAGAAAGATTATAACTGACAGTGTAGAAGAGGAAATGATAAGAGAGGCTAAATAGCTAGTTTATTAGTTACTATGAATGAGAGATGTTGAGGATTGAATTAAGGCAGAAACAATGGAGGTAGAGAGGAGGAGATGGATTCAAGAGGTATTTAAAGGGTGGACTTTTTGAATACAGGTAGTGGAAGAGAGGGAGGGGATGTCACTTGACTACAAGATTTCTAATTTGAGCAATGGCAGTGGGTGGTGGGTAGGGAAATGAAAATAAGGAATACAAGTGGGTAGAGTTGAGGAAGGATAGAGGTGAAGTCAGCCTTGGATATATTGAGTTCAGATGTTGACTGGGTGGAGATGCCCAGGAGTCAGTAGTTTTTTATATTGCTTGATTGCCATTGCAAACTGTCTATTCATCTTCTCCATTAGACCTCCTCTATATCATCACAACAACACCAAATGGTTTCTAGGAACTTAATTATTCCTTTTTGTCCTTGGTGGGCACAAATAGGAGGACCCCCAGAGGTTCATCGGTTTTCAGGCCTCTTCTCCAGAATGGGGATTAGCAGGGACTAGCAGGCCTATGAAAGGGGCTATGCTCAGAGGGCTGGCAACATCAGGGTCAGAGGCTGATGCAAGTGTGTTCTAGGTATCTAAAGAGCTGTAAGTAAAATATTTATGTAGTAGTTTTAAAGCATGTACACAAATTATTTGAAACTTTTCCTATATAACTGGGAAACCTAATCTCTTCCCCTTGAATATAGTCTGGCTTTATTATATAACTAGTTTGTAGCAAATAGAAAGTGGCCGAAGAGAAGCTGTATGCTTTCTGAGGCTAGATCATAAATGGTGATATAGCTTTTACTAGGCTCTCTCTATCTCTCAGGACATTTGTCCTGGGACTCACAAGTTAATATATAAGAACTCCAGTAACCCTGAAACTGCCATACTAGAAAGACCAGGTAAAGAGTTCACATAGACCTACAGAAGCTAGGATTCTGATCACCAATTCTGACGTTCGGGTTATTTTGTTCTCCCATACCGCTAAGCAAGTCTGTGACATCAGCTGGGTGTCCTACAATTTAACTCAGTCCTGACACTACCCAGAGACAGCTTCGGATCCCACAGGTTAAGGGTTCAGTACTACAAGACTACCTGTCAGACGCCAATCACAAGTCCAGGCTGTTAACTGTGCTTCTCACCAACTGGCTGTAGGTCGGAGGCTCCAATGACACCCTCTTTGGGTTTGATTAATTTGTGGGAGCAGCTCACACAACTTATTATAAAAGGATGTAACTCAGGAACAGCCAGATGGGAAAGATGCATAGATCAAGGTATGTGGGAAGGTGTGTGGGGCTTCTGTGCCCCCTCCAAGTACACCACTCTTTCCCAAATCTCCCTGTGTACACCAGCCTGGAAGCTCTCCAAATCCTGTCCTTTGGGTTTTTATGGAAGCTTCATTACATAGACATGATTGATTAAATCCTTGGCCATTTGTGATTGAACTCAACCTCCAGCCCCTTTCCCCTCCCCAGATGTCTGGGGTGGGACTGAAAGTTGCCAACCCTTTAATCACAGTTGGTTCCCCTGGCAACCAGCCCCCATCCCTAGGTGCTTCATTAACATAACAAAAGACACCTCTATTGCTCTCATCACAGGAAATTCCAAGGGTTTTAGGTCCTCTGTGCCGGGAAAGAACTGGATAAGAACCAAATACATATTTCTCTTATTATAAATCACAGTATCACAGAAGCCCAATGGTGCCAGCTCACTGTCTGAGTTTTCCAGCATCAACTATCAGACATGTGAGAAAGAATCAACCATCAGATATGTGAAAAAGACTGCAGATGAGTCCAGCCCTTAACCTTTGAATTTTCCCAGCCGATGCTGTGCAGAAATAGAGCAGTTCTTGCCGAGTTCTGCCCAAATTGCAGTTTCATGAACAAAATAAATTTTATTATTATTTTAAACTACTAATTTTGGGGTGATTATATTATATTTGATAATTGAACACTACAAAGCCATGATCCATCATAATTTAACTTTAAGAACTATTTTACTTATTTGATACAGGGTCAACATTTATTCATTCTGCTCTCAGACTTTCCAAATGGTCCAAGATCTTAATCCATGCCAACTCATTGAAATCTCATATTCTGTTCTATTTTACAACACCAGCTTAACTCCTGGCTGCCTTTCATTCTTACACTTGCTTATCTACACTGGCCTTTCCTCAGCCTTTGGTCATTTGAAAGTGTTTTTAGATATTAAGCATGCTTGCTTATAAAGGATCTAGCCCAGATATTACTGAACATAATAAAATTATACTCACAGTCCATGCCAAACACCATTTATATTCTGTTCTCAAAAGAGCTGACAGAATGGTCCTTTTAAAACTTAAGTTAGATGGAATGTTATTAAAATTATAAGGGGGCGCCTGGGTGGCTCAGTCGTTAAGCGTCTGCCTTTGGCTCAGGTCATGATCCCAGGGTCCTGGGATCGAGCCTTGCATTGGGCTCCTTGCTCCACGGGAAGCCTGCTTCTCCCTCTCCCCCTCCCCCTGCTTGTGTTCCCTCTCTCTCTGTGCCTCTTTCTGTCAAATAAATAAATAAAATCTTTAAATAAAAAAAAAAGAAAATTATAAGGAAGAGAAAATACATTTATAAATGTGTTGTTCAAAGGTCAACTGTATTTTCTTAGCAACTGTCAAGTACGTAATATAGCATTAACCATAATCACCATGCTGTACATTAGATCCCCAGAACTTATTTATCTTATAACTGGAAGTTTATACCTTTGACCAACATCTTCCCATTTCCCCCACCCCCAACTCCTAGCCGCCAGCAATCTACCTTGTTTCTATGAGTTCAGCTCCTTTAGATTCCACATATAAATGATGTCATACAGTATTTTGTCTTTCTCTGTCTGACTTATTTCACTTAGCATAATACCCTCAAGGGCAGACCATGTTGTCCCAAATGGCAGGATTTACTTTTTTTTTTTTTTTTAGTTTTTTTTTATTTGACAGAGAGAGAGAGCATAAAAGCCGGGGCAGTGGCAGGCAGAGGCAGAGGGAGAAGCAGACTCCCTGCCGAGCAGGGAGCCCGATGCAGGACTCGATCCCGGGACTCCAGGATCATGACCTGAGCCGAAGGCAGTCGCTTAACCAACTGAACCACCCAGGCGCCCTTTTTTTTTTTTTTTTTTACTTAAGCACAGCTGCCATATAATATTGTATTAGATCAGGTGTACAACATGGTGACTCGACAGTTATACACATTAGGAAATGCTCACCACGATAAGTAGAGTAACCATCTGTCATCATACGAAGTTATTATAATATTATTAACTATATTCCCTATGCTGTATTTTTTTCATTGCCATGGCTTATTTATTTTATAACTGGAGTTTTGTATTTCTTAAATTTCCCTTTAACCTATTTCACCTATCCCCCCGACCCCCGTCCCCTCTGACAACCACCAGTTTGTTTTCTGTTTATGAGTCTATAGTCTATTTCTATTTTCTTGTTGTTGTTTATTTGTCCATTTGTTTGCTTTTTTTTTAGATTTCACATATAAGTAAAGTCGTATGGTATTTGTCTTTCTCTGACTTATTTCACTTAGCATAATACCCTCTAGGTATCCATGTCATCATGAATGATGAGATTTCATCCTTTTGTATGGTTCCATAATACCCTTTTCTATATATATATATATATATCACCTCTTCTTTATCCATTCATCTATCAATGGACACTTAGGTTGTTTTTATATCTTGGCTATTATAAGGGGGTGTTCTGGGCTGAATTTCACATCCCCCACCTCAAATTCATATCTTGAAGTCCTAATCCCCAGTACCTCAGAAGGTGACTATATTTGGAGACAGTTCTTTAAAGAGGTAATTAAGGTTAAATGAAATCCTTAGGGTGAGCCCTAATCCAATGGGACTGGTGTCCTTATAAAAAGAGAAAATGTGGACCCAGACACATACAGAGGAAGACCAGGTGAAGACACAGGAAAAGAGATAAGCCTTCAGAAGACCCCCACCATGCTGACACCTGTTAGCCTCCAGAACTGTGAGGAAATAAACTGCTATAGTTTAAGCCACCTAGTCCTTGGTACTTTTTTATGGCAGTCCTAGCAAACTCACACAGGAGGAGGACTGGGAAAGTGCTAAGCGTACTTACATGTCGATGGGTTTGACACAAGCAGGGAGAATGGACTGTGTGCCGAAGAGAGCTGGCAGGGATGATGCTCTCTTGAACCTCTCTGACAAGATCCTCTATGTTGTGTTTTGGGCTAGCAATTCTGTAGGGGCCTGTATATGGGAGGAAAGAGTGAGGTGAAATGAAGGAAAAGCTACTTAGTCTTCTCAGGAAACAAAAAGACTGTGTGTGTGTATGTGTGTGTGTGTGTGTGTGTGTGTGTGTGTATAAAACATTATGTTGACCTTATGTAACTTCAAGTTAAGTACATTTTCATCCTTTTTAACATTTTATTTGACTAGGTGAGAAAGGCCAGGTTGAAGAGAAAAAAAATTACTCTCAGGCTTTTGTGGTTAATAGAGAAAAGTATTTCTATCTTATTTAGGGGAACATAATTTTAATACTTAGGTGACAGAGAAAACTGACCAGATGAAGGCATCTTTGGTTCACAGTAAAACACAACTAGCTTTATTTTTTTCCTCTTATGATCAGATACACATAAATATTCAAAACAAAATTGTATGTGAAAGGAGGGTGCATAAGAATAATTAAGAAAGAACAGAATACATAACAGATGGTCTTTACCTAGTTCCAATTATCTCAAGATTGTCAGGCTTTTTAGAACTTGTACTGTTTATATCACACCCCAATTTGGTTGCAAAGTGGCCCTGCCCTCAGCTATCAGGTGATAAATCTGAAAGATTGAGGTCAGATGGGTTGGACTAGGTAGGCATGAGAGAGACTGTCATTAGGAAGCAAACACATAACTACAAACTCCCAAGTGCACTGTAACCTCACATTTGAGCTGGAAGGTTATTATCCATCTGGCTGTGTGCTCTGGGAATGAACTGAGAAGGACAGATTCATTTCCCCAAACAATTAAGTGAGAACCAACAAAGAGGCAGGGCACTAATATTCTACCAAAGGAAAAAAAAAATCGATCTTTTGAACATACGGATTATTTCCAACACTGACAGGTGCTTTGATAATAATACATCAATTTGAAGTAGGGGGGCAGATGGTAAGGATGGGCATCATTATTTCAAAATCTGAATGGCAAATAAAGTCTTACTTTAGTCAGTTTGGGCTGCTATGACAACATACCATAGACTGGGTAGCTTAAATAACACACATTTATTTCTTATAGTTTTAGAGACTGAGTGTCCAAGATCAAGGTGCCAGTATGGTCATGTTCTGGTGAAGACCTTCTTCCTGATTTACAGAGAGCCATGTTCTCATTGTACCCTCATATGGCAGGGAAAGAAGAAGAGCTCTGGTCTCTCACTCTAAGGACACTAATTCCATTTATGAGGGCTCCATCCTCATGACCTAATTAGCCTCCACAGGTCTCATCTCTAAATACCATCTCCTTTGGGTTTCAACATATGAATTTTGGGGGACACAAACATTCAGTCCACAGCAAGTCTTCACTAAGGCACCCGATAAAGTATGTATCCTGTCAACCTTCTACTATATGGAAGTCTGTAGATCCCTTCCTCTTTTTAGTCCCTGAAGTCATTCATGAGTATTGACTGTTTATTGACTGTCTCTCCCTCCCCTCTGTGGGAGAGAGCACTATTTAAAGATGCATATGACGGAATTCTGATCCTTTATGCACTTTAATTTGGGGAAAAGGTATACTTACCAAAGAAAAGTCTTCCATTCTTACTCCTTTCTTACTCCTCCTCCTCCAACTTCATCTCCACCTTTTTCCTTTGAAGCTATCAAGGATTATAAGATGCATTTAGCTTTCCTTTCTTACTTTCTTACTCCTCCTCCTCCAACTTCATCTCCACTTTTTTCCTTTGAAGCTATCAAGGATTATAAGATGCATTTAGCTTAATCATGCAGATTTATCATTACCCATTCAGTTAACATAGATTGGTTAGAAGATGTGCTCTTTTTCCTTCTTGGCAATTTCCAATAACACAACCTATTGCACCACATTGAGAAACCCAGTGTGACAAGAGAAACCTGGGACTTAACTCCTGATTTGCACTGACATCAGCCAACAGTCAGAATTGCTTCTGGGCCCAGTGCTCATTTCCATCTCTTCCTGGAAGCCAGTTATTTTACAAGAATGTAATTGCAGGTAAGTAGCTGGAAAGAAAACATTTTGGAAGGACTAGGCATATACAAATACCTGAAAAAAAGTAGGTAGTTAAGGGGAAATCTAGTTGCTATATTGGTCCAGAGGTATGTGTAGGTAAACATCTAGACATTTTATTACTTCAATTATCTTAATTACTGGAGAGTGGCAACTACTTATTTTCTTAGAGGAACGTGAGCTGGTGGCACATTCTTCGTCTAACAACACAGTTCCTTCTGGTGAGTATGGGGGTGAACTGCCTGCCATTGATCTTTCTTGGGCACTGGAAGGCACACCGGAAAATTACTTTAGAGCTTGTTTCTGAGAATAGAGGCCCTGATCAGTATGTTTTCAAGCATCAGGAAAGAGGAAGAGAAACTAATGTTTATTGAACTTTCATAACCAGACTTTGTGCAAGGTTTTTTTTACATAAGTATCTTATCTTTGTAATAATACCCCCCAAATACACGTTTGATTGAATCTTATTTTGCTTTTATGTAGGTCAAAAATAGTTGACTATTTCACAGGCTTCAGCCTAATATTATCTTTATTTTTAATGATGAAAACACATCAATTCACACTTGTTCTGTTTCCTATCTACTAAGCCCACCCTCTACCCAAGCTTCCCACTTTATAGCATAAAGCATTTGTTCTCAAACTTTAAAGGACAGGGCTTGTTAGAAAATAGATTGCTGGTCCTCAACCTCAGAGTCTCTGGTTTAGTAAGTCTGCAATGGGACCAGAGATTTTGATTTCTTTTTTTTTTTTAAAGATTTTATTCATTTATTTATTTGAGAGAGAGAGAGAGATTGAGAGTGCATGTGACGGGGGAGGGAGAGAATCTCCAGCAGATTTCCAGCTGAGTGTGGAGCCCGATGCGGGGCTCGATGTGGCTCGATCCCCGGACCTGGATATCATGATCCCAGCCGAAACCAAGAGTTGGATGCTTAACCAACTGAGCCAGCCAGGCACCCCAAGATTTTGAAGTCCTAACAAATACCCAGATGCTGCTTCTGCTGCTTGTCTAAGATCACACTTTGGGATCCCCTGGTATAGAGGGATAGCATCCTCAAGAATGCACCTTTAAGACTTACTTCTTCCCCACATTGGTTCCAAAGCAACATTAAAAAATCCATATTTCCTTTAAAAATATTTTCCAAACGTGGCGTTGTCATTTTCACTTATCCTCAATTTATATTTCATTTATATATAATGCGTAAAACAGAAACTATATCACCTTAATTTTTAAAAGCCACAAAATTTTTCTGTTCATAGAACACAATTCCAGAAAAACTATATCATAGATGAAGTCATATCAAAAGTCTAAAATTTAAAGTGTTGGAAATTGAGGGGTGAAAAAGCAAATAGTTTGGTGGGTAGGTGGGATAATGCAGTGGAGATTCACACATCCAGTTTGAGGTCGTCCTAGAAGTTCTCTCCTCAGCTCCTTCCCCCTACTGAGATTCTGGGAGCCAAGTCCTGAGCCATGAATGATTCTCTCCACTCTATAGAAAAGGAAAGAGATTCAGAGGAGTAAAATGATTTTCCCATGGCTGGTTCATGCAAGAGCCCAGTTAGGGAGTGTTAAAAGATAAACCTAGGCATATGACACATTTTAAGAGTTTATTTGAGACAAGACTGATTCCAACCCGGCAGCGACACCCTGGGAGTGGTTGGGGGTGCACTGCCAACAGGAGCAAAGGGAAAGACCTTTACAGAGAAAGTGTGGAAGCAAAGAAAGGAAATTATTTGATTGGCTGGAACTTAAATCCTCATTGGTTGTTTGCGGTTGGTTGTCCTTAGATTTCATAACCTTGAGGCTTTTATAGGCTTAGATTTCAGTTTGCTTACGTAGGCCACCATGGCTTGAGAGCCACGTCAATTTAACGGCCTCCTTTGTAAATTAATTTTACAGGAATCAGGGCAAACCTCAGAATGGTGCCAGAGGGGGAACCAGAGCATAGGAGATGGGGACACATTATATATTTTGGTCTAGGATAGAGGAGGAAATCTTATTCCTCTAATTTCCTCTTACTTTCATCTGTATTGAAACGAATATATTAGGAGCAAATAGAAAAGGCTACATTAATCTTGATCTACTGGAAAACTCTAAAATCTTGGCGTGAACAATCCAGGTAGCCATCAGGTGCTCTGGTTATTTGCTCCTAAACACTTGGGTATTCAGAAACACCGCTAGTTTTGTTCAAACAAAAGGGCATCTTCCTCACTGTATGTTCTTCAGGACTTTCCCAAGGACTCGAGAAGTCTGTTTTTCTTTGTTTCCCTGTGTCCTTGTATTTATCTCTCCTTCTCTTTCTTTATCTCGCCCATTTTCTTTGTTCCTGCCATTATCACACAAGCTTCTTTTTTCTCCCTGATTTGTTTTAATCCACCCAGCTACTTTCTCTGTGTGTTTTCCATTTCAATGAATGAGAAATGTTTTCTTCATTTATTAGGACTTTCCCTGAAGGCTTTATTTAGTGGGCTTTGCCCTAACTGGTTTTGCTTATCCTGAAGAACTCCTTGGAAATGGCTAAGAGATATCAATACTATTTAGCATTTACAAAGGACAAAACAGTTGGAGAGATTTATTAGTAGGCAGTTGCTTATTTTTGTAAAACTTGGAGTATCTCAAAGATCCTTCTTCCTGGAAGAAGAATTGTCCTGTACATCCTGGACAAGTAACCTTACTTCCATGAACTTTGGCTTCCTTACCTATGAAAAGGTGATGATAATATCTTCTCACAGAGTTGTTATGAGGATAGAGTGAAAAAATATTCAACTGTCTGTTATTATGTTCCTCCAAGCTACCCAGTTCATTCATTCACTGACTCACTTAAGGATGTGCCTTAGTCACTCTAAGCAGAATAGTGAACAACACTGGTCTTTGACCTCAGGGAACTTATAGAAGAGATAGACCAAAACAAATACTTGTAGAAATAACAAGCTGTAATAAAGATAACAAAGGTAAATAGATTGTACAACAAATTTAGTAAAGGAAAAGTATATTGTGTCATGAAAGTGCATGATGGGGGATCTGACCTAGCCTGCAGGAGTGGGTGATCAAACATGGCTTCTCCACGAAAATGACATTTAAGCTGAGGTCCAAAAGATGAATGTGGGATTGACTAGATAATAAATGGGGAAGAGAGAGTTCCACACAGAGAGAATCGCATATGCAAAGGCCCACAAGCAGCAGGAAAGAGCTTAGCATGTTCAAGGAATTCATTAAAGGCCTGTATGCTCGGAGGTTAGAAAGCCAGGGAAAGAGGACCATGAGCTAAAGTTGCAGGAGTGGGTGGGAGCAGAATCACCCAGGGTCTTGTGGGTCACACTGATGAAGGATAATCGAAAGAAAGGCAGGCCCGGACAAGAGGACCCCGCCCAAGAGGAAACCACCCTTAAAAGGATTTTACACCGCCCTGGAAGGAGCCCTCCACCCTTTCCCACGTGATAAAACCTGATTGGATGAAGGTTCATGGAGGGTTAATCAGATTAAAACAGCCCATAAAACCCCTTATACTTAGAAAGGCCTGTGGCAACCCTTTTGGTTCCCCTCCCTTTTGGGGAGCTTTGTACTCTTTCAATGAACTTTGCTATCACTCAATAAACTTGGCTTTGCTGCCCATCACTCTTCGTCTGGTCTACCTCTTCATTCTTCAAAGTGGCGTGACCAAGAACCGTGGGCACCAAAGGAAAAGGTAATCCTGCAACAACATTAAAGATTTTGTCCTTTCTCCCAAAAGCATTTAGAAGGCTTTAAGATGGGAAATACAGTTGACCCTCAAACAACATGGGTTTGAACTGCTCAGGTCCACTTATCTTTTTTCAATAAATACAGTACCGTACTGTAAATGTATTTTTTCTTCCTTATGATTTTCTTTTTATTAAAATTTAAATTCAATTAGCCAACATATAGTACCTCATTAGTTTCAGATGTAGAGTTCAATAATTCATCAGTTGTATATAACACCCAGTGCTCATCACATCATGTGCCCTCCTTAATGCCCATCATCCAATTACCCCATCCTCCCACTCACCTCCCCTCCCGCAACCTTCAGTTTGTTTCTTATAATTAAGAGTCTCTCATGGTTTTTCTCCCTCTCTGATGACTTCCCATTCAGTTTTCCCTCCCTTCCCCAATGGTCCTCTGCCCTGTTTCTTATATTCCACATACGAATGAAACCATATGATAATTGTCTTTCTCTAATTGACTTATTTCACTCAGCATAATACCCTCCAGTTCCATCCACATGGATGTTAATGGTAAATATTCATCCTTTTGATGGCTGAGTAATATTCCATTATATATATATAATGTGGTGTGTGTGTGTGTATATATTATATATATATGTATATATCACATCTTCTTCATCCATCTGCCGATGTACATCTTGGCTCTTTCCACAGTTTGGCTATTGTGGACATTGCTGCTATAAACATTGGGGTGCAGATGCCCCTTTGGATCAATACATTTGTATCTTTGGGGTAAATACCTAGTAGTGCAATTGCTGGGTCATAGGGTACCTGTATTTTTAACTTGAAGAACCTCCATACTGTTTCCTGGAGTCTTCCCTATGATTTTCTGAATAATGTTTTATTTTCTCTAGCTTACTTTACTATAAGAATACAGTATAAAATACACATAACCTATAAAATATGTGTAAACTGGCTGTTTATGTTATCCATAAGGTCAACAGCAGACTATTAGTAGTTAAGTTTTGGGGGAGTCAAAGGTAATTTGCAGATTTTCAACTGCATTATGGTTGGTACCCATATCC